GCCCACCCTCTGGTTGAAAGGATATTTACTTGTTAGGATGTTCTTCAGAAAGGTTTTAGAAGGGGAATCGCAATGATAAGTAACTATAGCACTCTGTCAATATTGGCAATCAATACTTACTAACTCTGATCAATAGAAATATTGAATTTAAACATTATTATCCCCTTCAAAGCGACTGCTAAGTTGGTAAGAAAGGAAAAACGAGCAGTATAATGGGCGTGGCTTGTATAACTGGCTGTGTCGAACCCTCTCCCACGTTCAGTTCTTATAGCGGTGAACTCGTTCCTTGACCTCACCGCAAGGTGATTAATGTAATAAGCGTTACTTATCCATCAGAATAAGTATTAAAGTCCAGTTTCTTTTCATTCCAGACACCTGCAGCGGAAAAGTTTCGCCCGTTGAAATCAAATCCGCCTCCTGGTGAAATTCCGACCCCAAATGTGGCTCGCACTAAGAATGAGGAACGGCTTTTACGTAGTTTGGAAGAACTACTTCAAACCGAGAAGAAATACGTCGATGATCTCAAAGAGGTAACCACCAAGGGCAGTGTGTTGTATTACCCACTGATGGGAAGATGTCAATTTTTCAGATGATCGATCGATACCTATCAATTCCATCAGTGCGCGAAATTATGGAATCGGCTTTGAGGCTGCAGAAAATGCAGGTAAGGGGGTATAGAAGAATAGCTTCGAGAAGTCAAAACTTGAGACTGTTAACTGTTAATGAGACCCTTGTAATGGCGGATTAGTAGACCAGTACTGGAAGATTAAGAGAGAACAGGATTCTGAGTTGGAATGGGATCGGAACAGGATGAGGATCACTGAGAGTTGTGAGTCAGCAGATGGAAGGTTAAATATCACATGACGCCGCAAAGCAACTGAACTCTCTTAGATAAGAGGGTGAGAAAGATGGATGTGAGATCTTCTCCGGAACGTCGTGTCGGTTCACCGCAGCCGCCACGTATCGCAGAAATGCGATGGTTGATTGGAGCGTACAATGTGTGAATCAGATTCCCTATAGATGCTTTCATGGCATTGACTCCGGCTTCAAGGAGAAACATTGTTTTCCTTATGAATCCACTATCACACGAACACGCTCAACACACGAAAACAAGAAAAGACTAAAAATAATCGAAATGAAGCAAAAAAGCAAATTAAGCAACAAAAAAAAGGGTCCCAACTATTAGCGGATAGGCTAGCCGAATACGGTAAATGCAGTTCGAAGCCACGAGACAGCTAGAAAAGATTTGCCGCTTGCGGTCTAGCGAACATGAGGTTCGGGCAGAAAGTCTCCCACTTGAAAATACAGAGTGGAAGGAATGGACAGAAAAAGAATGGAAAGTGCTCTTATGAAAGACGTTAATTCATATTCTGTCAAAAGGACGGATGTCTAGCCTAATTTTGTAGAATATCGCCTTCATGTCGTGTTTCTCGTTCAGGTTTCCTTTCTTGACTCTTTGGAAGAGGCTCTGGGAGATATTGGAAGCCGTGATCTGAGCGCACGCCCGCTCGTCAGAGTAGGTTTCGCTGATTTTTTCTTGAAGGGGGATAAAGTAACTAGTTAAAAATTTTAGGATGCCATCATACGACTTTGTGCCCTGTTTGTAAACCGCTGTGGTGATTTCAAGGTCTATGCGGAATATGCGGCTGCTTACTTACGTTTACTACAAGAGCTACCATCTCGAAAGGATATGCTGGCCAGCTTGGAGGTATGAAATTCAGAGCAGATGACTCTAAACGCTGACTATGTGGCAGGTATATGCCCCCACTGTGCGTCCCTCAATGGGAAGCTAGGGCTCCAGAAGGCCTGTCCATGCTAGCCAAGTTCTCCTTCACTTGGGAAGCTACCAGAAAAGCTAGAAAGCTGGGAACTGGAACTTGACTTGAAATTGATTTGACTTTGGCTAAAAACTTGTATTCTAGGCAGCCAATAGCTCCAAAGAGCAACACTGCTCCTATGAGTCACGTATGATCAAGCCGGTTCAGCGAGTTGTGCAGTACCCACTTCTCCTCAGGGCCATTCAGTCTTGCTGTGATCAGGACAGTCTCCAGGCTAAGCAGGTACGGTATACTTTGTAATTTTTCAAAGGTTCATGTAATTGGAAGCCATCAGAGTTATTACGCGTAACTGTCTGGTCCTAGAAATTCTGGTGTACCCTACTCCCTAGGGAACTTGTCTCCCGGTACGACAGGCTTATCCTGTATGGCATTCCCACTTCTCTGGAGTAGTTTCTGTTACTTCCAAGAGAAATTGGAAGTCTCTTCATTGAACATTG